AGGCCAAAGCTTTCAGCTCTGCAGTTGGCCAGTCCAGCACCAGATCATGCGTACGCCATGAGAATGCGGCCCCCGATTGGTAATCTGCTAGTATCCGGCCGGGGCTTTGCCCCAGCCCATCGTCGTCGCTTGACGAGTGGCGTATTCAGACCGTCCATGCGACTTTGAGGTTGACTCGATGATTCATGATTGGAAACATGCCATTCGTTGAGCTTTTTCTTGTACATGGAGTTTCTATGGTCACAAATTAAAATGAGTCAACAACTCTGAATAGATGGAGTAGATTGACCGACGAAGTGTCGAAGCCAAACACCACATGCATACACCCCTCAACCATACTCAACGGCCAGTTTCCAAGAATATAAAGAGAAACGAAGGCTCACAAGGTGGTGGCGTCGGGCACCCAATATCGCCGTCAATAATCCGTGGTTGTGAACTTTGCAGGAGGGAAAGTTGAAAAGTTGGAAAATCTGAAAAAAAGAAAATAGTTTATCGAGACAGTGAGAGTATCCATTGATACTGTGTACTAATACTGTGTAATCGATATCGAGAACCGCCCGAGCAACCAGCAAAGGCAGAACATAAAATCAAATAAAGAGAAACGATGATCTCTTTTTTTGCATCCCACTCTGCAATAGTATACTTGGGTTGCTTGGTCACTTGAGGCTTACTCCTCGTGCGCGTGACAGCGGCCGTCGCCTGTTCATCGTGTGCATTTAGCGACATGTTGAGCTACGTAGAAGTGAGCCGATGATTATGGGAGAAGGTGAATTTCAATGAAAGGCTTCTTGCCTGGAGTTTTGTAGCCTTGCAACAAGAATAGATGACGGAAGAAAGAGAGTTGAAGGCATCCCCCGATGGATAGCGGGAAGAGGGGAAGGCGGGCGTCGTAATCGTACATAGGATGGCAGGCAAATATGTTGGCGTGGAAAGGCATCAACGTCATCGTGCCTAACGCTGCATGCGTTTGACTGATCACTGTATCGAGGCCATGAGGAAATACCTCGTAGCTAGCTGCTATGGGATTGCGTGAAAAGCTCCAAGCTCCTCACAAATTGAAGTATGACACACAGCTAAGAACTTAACTCCGCAATCAGTCCACCTTGCATTAAAATTCCTCACAGAGTGATTGGCTAACCTTGCATTAAAGTGCCTTGCAGGGTGATTGGCTTAGAAATTGGTTGTGTTTGTGACAAGCCGCATTGTGGCACTTTCTTACGACCTAATGAGTGCTCGAAGCCGATCATCTGGGGATAGATAGCGTAGTACAATAGTAATTAGGTGACAGATGGCTCCACGCTGTTTTACCCGAGTCGAAAGTGCTCCTGAGCTTTGGAATAGTGTGTCTGGGGGAGGAACACGTCTGGATACCTTAGCGGAGGAGGGACTATTCCAAAGGATGAGGAAGTATATGGGTATGAGTAGGCGCGATGTTCTCGAGAGGGAGAGCAGCCCTTTTCCTAACGATTCTTCCATCAAACAACTTCCGAGATACTCTTTGATATTGATGGGCCGCCTAAGGTCTGGCAACTCCATTCTTATACAGTCAGAGCTGAGTGCATGTTCGGTCCATGGTCCAATCCTTTTCAGCAACAGCGAAGCTTGGCCATCATGTATTGGAATCGGTCTGAAACTGATGTGCTGTCTACTGCCACCGATCTGACGACTTCTTTCGATAACATTGGCGACGATTTCAACCGTGAAGTCAATGCGTTATTCGACTTCATCAAAGTCGACATGAAGAAGTTCAAGAAGTCCTCTGAGGGATTTAAACGGGCATTGGGTAGGCCCCAGGCAGCAAGAGACCGAGCCTTTGTGGTCGTTTGTGGTCAACGCGATGCAACTCGGCTCAACAAGAAGTTGAAAAGCGAAGAGGCATCCTCTGAAATTCTGGCAAAAGAGATTCTGGATTGGTGAGTCGACTCAAATTCCCTTTCAATAGCTCGTGTTCGTCGCGTCTCCTTCAACAGGATTTCTGACCCTCTATCACCATGAAAGGAACTTCAAAGATGATTGTGGCCACCGACATTACACTTGAATATGAGCTCCGAGTTCTTGGAAACATGGACGAGATACGAGAACTCGTGCTGGTCGTCAGCAGTCAGTTCGATGACGTAAACTTCAAGATGCCACTCAATGTTAAGTTGCTAATGGTGCTGCGGGCCGAGACTTGCTTCAGTACAGGCGGCCAACTTTGCATCAATGGAAGTTCGACATTCAGAGACACTAAGCTTGACGACTGGCAATCTATACCACACAAGGGTAGGTTGTTCTTCGGCCCTGATGTTGGAATCCCTATCGATCCAAGAGGTGAACGTTGGACAAAGGCTAAAAGGACCTTCGAACAGGACTTCACCGATGACGAAAAGAAAAAGCTGCGAAGACAGTTCGAGAAGATGAGAAGTCAGCCTATGGAGGGTAACGGATGGCTGAAAGAGTGGAAAGGCATAATTGCTTCCGTTATGGGCGTACTTGCCGGTGGCTCGAAGCTGGTGGCCGCCATCACGGCTTCGTACCTATTTCCTATTTCCAATAGACAACCGTTCTCTTTTACTTACGTCGATGCCCCTATGGTGACTATATGACAAAGTTCAAACATTTAGTTAACATCTACATTACAACAACTACTCAAAACATTTGCATTATGTTATCTCTTTCCTCGCCTCTAATGCTTTGAGCTGTTCCAACCGCATACATGTAGCAAGGTGCAGCCTAATACCAGAATAGTATCAGGCCACGCGCCCCCAGGCGCTGCGGCCAGGCAGCCTTGGAGATTGTCCTGAACCCAGATTAAAAAGCAGGGCTGCAATCAAGCTGCTTGTGAATACTGATCTGCAAAAGTATCTGATTACCTAATGACCGGACTAGGATATACGGTCCCCGTGCAAGCTACCTTAGGATAGTGATTGAGGGTATTAGGGATAGAACCGAAGTACCTCGGGTTGGGACATAGATATAGGTTTGTTTATCCTTAAACCCAAGGTCATAGCGGGCTCTCCAAGACATCTGTCTTAAGATGTCACAAAAAGCGGGCCCACTCAATGTGGGCAGCATTAACCACATCCATATCTCGTGACATAAGACGACTACATTCTTCAATAAGTAGATGTGTACGATATAATTAAGAATACTCCTCCATCTATTGATAATCTAGCAATTTTTATTTGTGACTGGCAAGGTAAACCTCTTGTGGAGTGGCTTGTGAAGTACTTAAAAAGACCTTGTTTCCTTCCTCATAGTAAACAAATACCCGCCAAGTCCGCTGAGGCATATCATATGATCGGCAGCGTTCTCGTATCAAGTAGTTGTATATTTAGACCCTAATTGGTTTGCCAAAGTACCACAAAGTTACCGGATTCAGAAGTAATCCCCAGCCTTATCTTATGGCAATCCCGCTTATCTCGACACGTAGTAGCTGTCTAGAGGCACGTGGGGTTGGATGATGCACCAGGAGCACGAGACACGCAACGGTTATCACCGCATTTGGGGACGTAGCTACAAGCAACTGGTGCAGGGCCGCAGCAGTCGCTGCTCTTATTGCATTTGGCTAACTCTGCCTCGCATCGCTCTGTATCTCATTGAGTCAATAATAACGTAGCGCGGATTCAGTGAGGGTTTCACTGACTTTCGACTACGAAAAGATTACCGTCGTCATTATTAGAGGTAGGTGGTACTGCGGCAACGAGGGTGGCGAAGGCTAGAAGAGCGATCTTTAGAGTCGAAGGCATCTTAATAGTGTTAAGGGGGATAGTATTGAATGATTGCTTGCAGGATAGTAAAGAAGCACGATAACAAGGTAACACATAGTGATTGTACACGAACGTATTTATTGAGGTATATGTAGTTGACTGAGATTTGTTTGACCGGAGTGCTCGGTAACTCTCAATTAATTACTTTAATCCTATTGTCAAGTGAAGTGGGTTATCGAGCAACCTAAGCCACCAAACCAAGGCTGACTTTAACTTCGGTGTTACCGAATTCTTGAGTTCAAGCTGGAATAGGTCGTCTGAAAACTTCTTATATTAAAGCAGTTCATTCATCTCCCCAAGCCCACTACTTAAGCTTATCCCGTCGGTCGTGGGCCAACGTCAGTACAAATCAGTACAAACTCCTCCAGTTTTTCTCCAGCTCGGAGACAATCCTCGATTTTTAGTTTGCGGGAACAGGGAATATCAAGTCGGATTATCTTATAATTCGCTTAATTCCCTCACGGAGATACGTACCTTTGTACTGACGTCGACCCGAGACCGGTGGGATACGGGACGACCGGAGACTTAACCTTTAGCTTAATGTTGTACGTAGCCATATATAGGACGCTATGCCGATAATCTTGTGCCGTGCGTCTAAGTCTATCCGTGGCGCCCTGACTGGAGCCGGAGCAGCGATACGTCTAGGTAGAAGCTCACCTGCCCAGGTACTTTCCATGTCTATGGTGCCGTGCTCCCCTCGCCCCCCGTACAGTCTGCTGCCATCGTCGACTACACTAGTAGCAGCGCAGCCAGATCAACAACGCTATAGAGTATGTCCAACAGCTAGTCCGTAGTGACCCTTGCGCGCCAATACAGAACGCGGTCGCCTACCCAGTCAACTACGCCGTTAGCAGCCTTAGGGGCTCCGGACGTACGGGTAATAAACCTCTGCTCCATACCCAGGACATAACCAAAAAAACTCCGTACATCGTCGGCCTCGAATACGACCAGAATAATGCCGTCTCTCGACACATGCCTTATACACAACAAGCATACGTGCAGCTTAGATAATGGCTGAGTACTTTGCCGTGTAGTCCGAAATACCCCCCTAGCCACCGCGAATAAATCTATTTTTCTTTTTTGCATCTCACTATTCTTTAATGATTCCCTGAAGCTGTGAGCACTTTATGCTCTTATGGTACATTGCGCCTAGTGATTGATTATTTCCGTCTATCTATATATTTGATTCTGGTTAGCTAGTAACAAAGTCCCTTTTACCAAAGCGACTGCTGCCTATAAGGACAAACAGGCTTACTTCCCAGTAGCATTGTGCCGAAACCTCGAAGTAGCTGCGGCCTTTCCGGCAAGCTGTTTGATGCCCTGCCCGCCAGTAATGTCAAAGACTGAAATGTCCGCGCCAACCTCCTTGGTCATCCATACTCGAAGTTCTACAGCCACTAAAGAATCTACACCATACGAATTCAAGGGCTTTGAGGGATCAAGATCTGCCAGCTCGTAACTGAGAATCTTGGCCAATTGTCCCAGCAAAGCATCAAGCACGGCTTCCTCAGCATCTTCCAGGGACTCGGCGGCAGCGATGAGATCGCCAACTGAGCGCTTAGCAGAGCTTTGCTTGCCGGGCATGGAACCGCCATTGTGAGCGCCGTGAAGAACTAAGTGGTTATACATCGGCTCATGCTGCCATTTAGGCTGTTCAGCGCCCTCATCCGCCGAGTATTTGGGCAACCAGAGCCTGGGAATGACTTGAGCACCCTTTACCTTGAGCTCTGCGCTCTCGGACCTGGGGCGACAGTGATAATCCAGCGCATTGACAAGCTCTTCCACAGACATGCTAGCCCAGCCGATCGAAAGAAGATACTCCCTCAACATTGGTCTCGCAGCGACCATACCAGCATCGGTCAACACTGGGGCGTCGAGGGCGATTACGTTGTGGCCTTGAGATGACAAGAAGCGCGCCATGGCGTCTTGGTACGAGTTGCCCGCGCTATAATTCGCTTGGCCGTTGTTGCCGGTGACGCTGGTGAGAGACGACAACATGACGAAGAAGTCGAGTGTTGAATCGTCGTTTTTAGTGGCAATGAGGACTTCCCACAAGTTCCTACTTCCCGCTACCTTGACGTTGACTGCTGCATTCCACTCCTCGAGGGTCATTTCAGCGAAGACGTTGTCCTATCAAGAGGTATTAGTAGTGTCGGCGAGAAATGCTGCCAGAGGGACCATTACTTACACTGAGAACCGTAGAAGCCTGGATGCATCCACGCACTGGCGGCAGATAAGATAGCGCCGAAGTGATGGCCTGCTCAAGTTCCTTCTTATCGGTAATATCACAACAAGGAGCAACAACCTTGATGCCATCGCTTTGGAGACTTCTGATGAGATCCTTGGCAGCTTCGTCGTCGGGCCCCTTTCGTGAAGTAATGACAAGATTGCGCGCGCCCTGGCTAACCATCCAACGGATAATTTCCAGGCCAAGACCACCAAAGCCGCCAGAGACAATGTAGGTAGCATCCGACGCGAACTTGGCACGGGGTCTCCGTGGCTCAACCACTCGGACCAGGTCCTCAGAGTGGAACTCAATGAGAATCTTTCCAATGTGCTTGCCAGACTGCATCAACCGCATGGCATCTTGGATCTTGGAAATGGGATATTTCGTGATTGGTGTGGGACGCTCGAGATTGCGGCCAACGACACTGTCCATGGCGCGTGCAAAGAGCCCATCTAGTCGTTCCGGGTCCGTTTGTCGCATGTAATTCAACTCAAGGGACTCAAACCTCACGCCTCGGGCAAAGGTACCCATAGAGATACGAGATCTGGACTCAATATCGGCCAGACCAATCTCGGCAAAGCATCCAAACGGCGCAACAATCTCCCAGGTGGCACGAAGCGTGTCACCGGAAAGACTGTTGATGACAATGTCGACTCCCCGGCCTCCAGTCAATCTCTGAATGCCATCCTTGAAGGTCAGATCACGGCTCGAGAAGATGTGATCTCGAGGTATCTGATATGTCTCCTCGAGAAAGTCTCGCTTCGCGATGCTGCCAACTGTTGCAAAGATCTCAACACCCTCACGTTTAGCCATCTGAATGGCAGCTTGACCAACACCGCCAGCCGCCGCATGAACCAGCAAGCTAGGCTTCTGGACGCGTCTCACCCGCTTCTCTACTTCTCCAATGTCGTAGAGACAGGCATATGCCGTTGTGTACAAAATGGGAATGACCGCGGCTTCGGCAAAGGAATGGTCTTCGGGTACCTTGGCCAGAGTGCCCTCAGCACCTCTGCCGTACGTAGAATATGCACCGTTGAAAGTGAAGCCAAACACACGATCGCCAGGCTTGAAGCGCGTTACTCCCGAGCCGACTCGGGTGACGATTCCCGCGGCCTCGAGACCCACAGGTGTCTCTTGGATCTTTCCGAGCATGACGGCCAAGTCCTTGAAGTTGACGGCAGTAGCCATAGTCTGAAATTCGACCTCGAGGTTGTCTAGGGGAGTAGTGTGCAGGTGGTCGTTGGCGAAATGGAGCGAACTCAATAGACCAACGGTTTGGACCTGAAGTCGTAGTGGTCGACTCGGATTCGCGCCAAAAGCAACCTCAGATGTGTCGCCAGCAAAAGCCTGCTTGATGTGCCTAGTGATTGTGGAGACCTCGACGAGGCGTGGAACAGTGACCAGGCCATCGGCAACCCTGTACATGGTTTCCACAGAACCCTTGCTGCTCGAAAGGTGTGCGTCTACTATGGCGATCCTGTCTGAGATGACGCCGTTGCTCTCTTGTGGATCGAAGGTGAGAGTGACAAACTGAAGTTCGGGTTTCTCCAATCGGATACTCGCAGCAAAGCCGTTGACGAGGGCGGTGTCTGGAGAGAACTCTTTGTTGACCCAGAGCAGGCGCTTTCCAGTAATCATGACTTTCATAGCCCTCAGGATCTCGTTGTTGACTGAAACAAGTAGACGCGTGTCCAGTTCCGTAAGTACGATACAGGTGCTCTGAGAGATCTCTTCCTTAGACGCTGCTTCTGTGAGCTGAGCGTATTGTGGGATCGTAGCGGTCTTGACCGACAAGCCCTTTGACTGCAAAGAGGATGCCAGCTCCTCAGCCACGTCGCGCTGGACTGGCGAAGAGAGATCTCCTACGATATAGTAGCTTCCAGATGGCGGTTCAATATCAGTTCCATGAGACGACGGGGTGCTCGCTACTAGGGTGGTCGTCACCAAGACTGATGAACCCTGATCACAAAGCACCGCGTCGATGCTAGCAAGCCCGGTCTCGCCAAGATACTCGCCCCAGCTCCTTGCCACGATCGGACTGCTCGCCGCCGTCAAGATGAACTTACCACCAGGTCTCACGAGACTGAGGCACATGTTTAAGAACCCATCGATGAGCGTATTGGGTATCAAAGACACCGGTACAAGTAAAAGATCATATGACGCCAAATCGAAGCCCTGGGAAGTTGGATCCTCCGTGATATCAAAAGTCTTATATCGCACATAATCTTCCGAAATGGGCTTCTTTGATTCATCCACCAAGGAAGACGAAGTTGCGGCAAAGTCATACTGCGCGCAACGCCGAGACAACGTGGACAGAATATCTCCCGTGAAAGAAGAAGCTTGTTTGTTAATGTCGAGGAACTTCATCGAAGGATTCTTGTGAGCCAGGACACTGAGATACTTCTGGAACCCTCCAGGCCCCGAAAAAGCTCTCTCTGTCTGTTCTGTATCGAGGAACTCGGGATCCAGAGCCCAATCGATGCTCCATGCTCTGTGTCTAGGGTCCTGCTCTGAAATCGAGTCGTCATTGTTTCCGTCAATCTCTGTCACAATACATCCCGAAACTCGAATCATGGGCGTTTTTGAAACGGAATCGACAGCGGTGCAGGACATGTGATGTTTCTTGCGGCCGTGGGCTACAGAGTCCGCAATAACGAGATAGCCATCTTCCGAGTGCTCCGCAGTAGAAACCCAAAGTTCTTCCATGAAAGACAAGACAATGGCGTTTTTTTGCTTATGGGAAGGGTTGGAAACGAGTGGCACCAGGCATGCTTGAAGCGCACCATCCAACGTCGTAGGGTGAATCAAGTGCGGTTGCAAGTAGCCGCAAGGTGTCAGAGCCTTCAGGAGAGGTGTCGTAGGTTTGACTCTGGCCAGGGTGACGCCGGCTTCATGGTCAACAATGGCGTGCTCAAGGGTCTGGAAGGTTGGGCCGAAGACCAAGCCGACATTCTCCCAAGACTTATAAATATTTTCGGACGAAACGTGCCGCGTGAAGTTACGCAGACTCCGGTCAATCCTGGCTTCGCAATGAGCCTTAAAAGCACGCTCTTCGAGACCGCCATCAACAGCCGTAGCCGCCTCGTCGTATTCCACGAGAACTTGACCGCAGCAATGCTCCCGCCATTCGTCATCGTCCTGGGCTGTGCAGACCTGGAACTCGCGCCACGCTGAAGGCTTGGTCTCCATGGCAGCTTGCTTAACAGGGCGAAGATAGAGGTGGGACTCGACGCCCAAAGCACCCTCTGGAACTTGCAAGGCCGAATGGAAAGAGACTTCGCGGAACCGGATGCCTTTTATCGGCTTTCCTGGGTTCGAACGCTCCGACAGTTGCTTGCAGCCCTCGATGGCCATAACAAGCATACCGGCAGCAGGATACAGCACAGATCCCGAGATGGTGTGGTGTTCCACCCATGGATTCTCAGACAGACGGATCCAGTTGCGCCAGATGGCATCATGCTTTCCATCCCAATCGTTGACTGGCGCTCCAAGTAGCTCGTGTCGTGGGTACGGCCGGAAGCGGAAATTTCTGCTTAGTCGGCATTCGTTCCAATACTCTCGCGTGTGATTGAAAGGGTACCGAGGGAGGTCAATCATCATTGACGGCTGGGCACTGAGGGTGTGGTTGACCTTGAGCAAGTCAATTTGAATGCCGCGAGAGAACAACGATCCAATTGCTCCCATGAGAACCTCCAAGTCAGAGTCGCCCCGTTTGAGCAGGTGGTGGTACTTCACACTACTGTTGACCCTTACATCTTGGATAATATTTCGGAGAGGGCCCCGCAAAGCGCAATGAGGACCAACTTCAACAATGTCTGTAATGAGCTGGGATGAACCACCATCGCCCTTGAGACTGTTAAGAGCTTGAAGCATGGTCGTCACGGATTCATTGAACCGCACCGGGGAGGTTAGATTTTTGGTCCAGTAGTTCGCGTCTTGCAACTTAGCATGTTGTATCTGTATCCCGTATGCTGACGAGAAGAAAAGCACGTCGGAAGAATGGTTCGCGCGGGAACTCGGAGGCCGGATCCTTCCGATACACTCGACGTACTCTTGCGAAATGGGTTCCAGGAATCTCGAATGGTATGCCATTTCTACTGCAAGCTTCCGCGCAAAGATCTTGTCCTCGTTGAGCTTGTCGATGAGTGCCTCAACCTCTGCAACACTACCACTCACAGTGTGGCTAGTATTACTGTTCATGCAAGCGACGGTAAGCGTTCCGGCAGATTCGAGCCCGGACTGGTTGAGTCGGTCAATAGCCTCCAAGGTCTTGTCCAGAGTCAATCCGACTGCAGCCATCGTGCCCTTTGGTTGCGTTGGAGAGTTTGCCAATCTAGCAGAGAGTTTTCCTGTGGTGAGGTCGATTAGCTACATGCTATATTGATTCATTGCAAAAATGCTGCCACCTACCCCTCCAATACGCGATACGCCAAGCACACTCCTTAGAGATAGCACCCGCACAGTACGCGGCCGCGATCTCGCCCGAGGAGTGGCCGACAACAGCATCAACTCTGAGTCCCCAATCGCGGAGAAGCTCAACCAAAGCAACCTGCAGAGCCGTGCACAAAGTCTGCGAATACTCGGCGCCGCTGATGAGAGACATGTTGGAAATCTTAGAAAGCTCGTCTGTCGTTCAACGTTAGTTCGACTTGTGACTGACGGAAAGACTTGGGAGAAAACTCACCGATGACAGACCACTGACATCCCAAGGTCTTCATATATGCATCGGCGCACTCAAGACTCGTTCTATAAGGCTCATAGGACATGAGACCGTTGCCCATCTGGGCCCACTGCGCTCCCTGACCGGTGAACACGAGAGCGACGCCGGGCTGGGAAACAACGCGAGTTGCTCGTAGGCCCTGAGATAGCGCATGTTTCAGTTCCACGGAAGAGTTGGCGACAACTGCGGTGCGCCAGTTGAAGGTAGACCTCTTCGCCGCTAGAGTGTAGCTGAGATTGTAGAGAGGCTCCGTCATGTTCGGCAGATAATCCTTGTAGGCAGCGGAGAGTCGGGCGATACCATCGTGATCATGGCTGCTAAAGACAAACAGCTGGGGATGGTATAGAGTTCCATTGATGACCGGAGGTGCTTGGCTTGCTGGTATTATACTTCAGTATTTGTATTTTGGATCACCAAAAGGGAAGTTGGCCTTACGAGTTGTCATTGGCAGCCGGGGTACCTCAATAGTACGGTGGGGTGCGGCGTGTCCATGCTCCCTTAGGAAATGAAGCGCATCTTCCAGCACAACGTGGGCATTGGTGCCCGAAACTCCAAAAGAGTTGATCGAGACTCTGCGAACGCCTCTCTTGGTCTTGGGCCAGGGAATCGAGGTAGTTGGAAACTCAAGATGCCATTCGACCGGGATCTTGTGGTTTCTTTCCTGAAACCATGCGTTCGCTGGAATGATACCTCTCTCCACGCACAAGACGCCTTTGATGAAAGACGCAATGCCCGAGTTGCCTTCAGTATGGCCAATGTTGCTCTTCAGGGCGCCGATGTACAGAGGCTCTTTCGCCGATCGATACCGCGTGAACATCTCACTAATGGCAGCAGCCTCTGTTGGATCGCCAACATTCGTACCCGTTCCATGAGCCTCAAAGAAGCGTGTGTCTGAGGGGTCAAGCTTGGCTTGCTCATAAGTCAATCGCATGATCTCAGCCTGGGCCTCCTTGGCAGGTGCTGTAAGACCAGGAGAGTGTCCATCATGGTTGCACCCGGTATTGCGAATAACGGCGCGAATTGCTAGCGAAACCGCACGTGTCAGGATTTTCAAGTCGCGCTCAACTTTCTGGCAACTAGAAAGGGTGTACTTACTGTCTCCGTCCCGTAGAGCATCGGACATCCTTTTCAGGACGACAGCTGCGATGCCTTCACCTCTCCCGTATCCGTTTGCCCTGCTGTCAAAACTGTAAGATGTACTAGATGGGTCCAGAACACCAAGACCATTCAGCTCCAAGCCCATCTCAGGGGAAAGCAACACATTTGTGCCACAGGCAATGGCCTTTCGCGATCCGTATCAGCATAAGTTGGGAGGGAGGAAGCTATGAGATCTGGCACTGACGATGTTACAGTCGCGTGATTTCAAGCCAATGACAGCTTGATGAAGGGCAACCATGCTGCTCGAACAAGCAGTGTCAACACTCAGGGCTGGACCTCGGAGATCATAGAACCATGAAACACGCCCAGCTAGGGTACTGGCAATGGTGCCACACGCCGTGTATGTCATGGGAGTGTCCACGTCCTTGATCAAGAGATCTCGGTAGTCCCACATGAACGCTCCCGCATAGACGCCAGTGGGCGAGCCCTGCATGTCAGACATGGTGTACCCAGCGTTTTCCATCGCTGTGAAGACGCATTCAAGCAGCATTCGCTGCTGCGGGTCCAGATTCGCAGCCTCTGCTGGAGTCATGGCGAAGAATGGTGCATCAAACGCCTTCACGTTGGCTTGCATGAAATGCCCTTCTTTTCCGCCGATCTGTTTTCGTGTCAATCAAGCTTGAGATAATCAGGGAGAAATGCTGGGTATCTTACAACTCCATCTCTGTGATTATCGGGGTGCCAGAATGCTTCCGCGTTGTAGCGATCTGCAGGAACAGGAGCTCGCGCAGATCTTCCGGCAATCAAAAAATCAAAGAACTTCTCGACGCTGTCTCCATCGCATGGAAGCTTGGCATCCAGGCCAATGACGGCAATAGGCTCAGCCATGGTTTCTGACAGGGAAGAGAAGACGAAGTCGGATTGTTGTTAGCGAGTTGGGAGTGAGTATTGTTCACTACCTTAACATGAATTCAAACTCAACGGCAATGACCTAAAACGACTAGAACCTTGTAACACAAAGGATTAAGGGCTGCTTTCTTAATGAAGGAATACATATACATATATATAGACATGTGTCTGGATATATGCTGTTTGGACTCTAACAGAAGACTGGCTAGATGTTGCCCAATCCCTCATCATGCTTATCCACGTCGCACTTTTGTTGTGGTGAGCCCATTTCCTGAATGCCCAGAATTCGGACACTGCAGGGAGGCTTGTTCCCCATTAACAATAACTCACTGGAACCTTGCGAAGAATCCCCGAGTTCTAGGGAACTTTTGTTTCCTGGGCATCGGAGGCCGCGGACACGACACTGCGTTCCGAGCGTTTGCGTGATCTTTACTGGAGGGCACACTCTGTATGAGTCAAAGCATCATCCGGGCGAGAAGGGGTAGAAATACGGTCGCAAGTATAGAGCAGGTCGCAAATAAAGCTAATAACGTCAAGAAGAAAGTTACAAAAAGTACAAATGAAAGACTTATATCGTGCTTGTATTGAGATAATACTAGTACGAGGCAGATAGTGGACGTAGCTATAAACCTATCACATTACAGCAAGACTAGAAATAATATGTATGGGATCCCGCTCGGACACCCTGTTGAAGGATTAAGCCACTCCGAGTACCATACGATTAAGTTCTTTGGATATGACTTGGTGTTGTAGTCGCAGTTCTACACTCACCTGGGAGCAAATGATTTGGCTGGTACATAGCAAGTACTAACGAATATCCGATCTAAGCGGAGGTGTACAATGATCTTAGCTGCACTTTATGTTTGGTAGTGAGTTTTTCAGCCTTCCACCATCTTTGTTTACATAATTCATCTTCAAGCACTCTCAGTGATTGCCAGGACGTGAGCAAGCCAGAACGGGGTTTGCATGTTGCAACTATGATGGTAGATGTTTCATCATCCCGTAGTTGCTGCTCGGCATTGTGAACGCGGCAGCAATTCTGTCGTAGTCCAGAGACAAACATTGTTCTAGTTCGATTTTGTGCTAAGACGACACTTTTGTGGGGCACCGAAGCAGTCGCGACAGTAAAAGCTTAAACAGGCTAGGGTCGCAGATAAGGAATAGTATATGACCTTACATGCTGACTTGACATCATGTCCTTACATCATGACCGTACATTGTGTAGCGTCATTGAGACACAATTACCCAGCCCAAACACAAGGCAAAATTCGTTTACTATGTACAGCCCGTACTTTAATATACCCCCTGATATTCAAAGTACACATCCAATTCCGAGTCTTGCACGAGGCCTTTCCCTATCGTAATCGTAGATATATATCGGCCATCGGCGTTCACTTCAATTTCAGAGGATTGCCCCAATGTTAGTCAAGTCATCTCCCAAATACCGGTGTGTAAGGGGGTTAACAAACCTAAAATAAAAGCCGTCAACGTCGTCTGGGCAATGGTCTACTACAAACTTGTTCGTGGGCGGGTGGGCATCAAAGCGCGGGGTTATGGTGCAATTGTCTCTGATTTAGGCTTTCATGCCAAGAATAAGCTCCAAATGCTGCTAGACGCAGCTTACAGTCAACGGCGAATGTAGCCCACAAGTTCCGACAGGGGTGAGTCTTCGCCGACATCGGCAACAATCAAAGCCGAGACGGGTGCAGTGTCCGAGAAGGTGACTATGAGAGCATTGCACATATTTCGCTCTGGAACAGAAGGATTTATGGGACTAGACCGCATGTTCACAACCCCTTCTCACCAAAGAGATGAAGAGGAATTAGGTATATAGAGGGAAGCGCCAATTTGGACAGCATGTGTCAGGCGTGTGAGTGCATGAAATGTAACCCAACATCTGGTGAGCGTCAGGCTTCGGCTTTACACTTCGGCGAATGGAAAAGCATGGCTTACGGCGCTAGGTGATTGGGATGCTTTTGCGGAATGGCTGGTCCATACATGATGCTGGCTGGCGGTATCTCCTTGATGAAACGCGAGGCGTTGATGCATACAGGAATCCACGTTTGTAAACCAGTCGAGTTGGCAATCGTGTAGCAGTCATCCCCAATTCGGCGTACAAAGTCACCTTACACCATGACATCGCAGGAATAATGATTGGTTAGGATACTGTTCATCAGACAATGCTCTTTTACGTTAAGCTGCGTCGCTGACATTGCTGAACTGTTGTCCGGATCGGCCTCTGGCTTTTCGCCTCAGGTCATTTCAGGGCTACCTACATGTCGATAGTGCTACGGTACCTTAGTCCATATTAGATTCTGTGTAGGAATTGACTTTCTCCACTTCTCAATATCTTACAGACTACATTTAGACAAGTGAGAGACATTGCTAGCGTCCGAAGATGGATAATTGCCATTGAGATTTAAGCGATGGATAAGACATCATACGGCCAATACATCTCTTTTCCATAAGCCATCATCAGGATCATGTTCGTTGGTGACATATGTATGCAATACTTGCTGGATTTAGAGAAATTGACAGCAGCCTCCTCTTTCAACTATCCTAGGCGCTTTTAGAGTATGGGATGAATATAGATAGTTTGTATTTCTCTTGTTCGGGGTCGTTGTCCCAGCCTGAGGGTCGAAGTTAGAAGACTTCCTGCAATGATATGATAATACCTTGAAATACAGAAAGGTTGGAGATGAAAAGACGTGAAAAAATAATAGGCCGAAATTTGTGAGAGTGAGTAGCTGAGCAAAAAGATTCGTCGGTGGATTTGTGTTCTGGCCATGATAACCCTTGGAGTGACAATAATTGCCATAAGTGGAAATAATGGCGGTCTAAAGTCTAAGTCATAGTTGTACTACCATCCAAACACTCGGAAGTACAAGATCCAACCTGAACAGGGTTGGTTCAGGTGGGATGGGAATAAACCATGCATGGTCCGGGGATTCATACGTTCCAAGAAGCAAAAGTTCCAGTCGGATGGCTGTCTTCTCACTGCTCATTGAAAAAACACTGGGCAGAATTATAACATCCCATGACAGTTGCCTCTCTTGTCACCCACCCCTGTTTCTAACAAGTTGTCATAAAGTGGATTTGCTCCACATATAACCACAGTAGGTTTCACCACAAATGCGAAATTCCCCGCCATGTCCACCAAAGAGCGTTGCTGTCGATGTAAAAGGCCCAAAGGCCCAAAGTCTGAGTGAATACGCGACAATTATAAAGCAGCATGGTCACTGGGGGATTCTTGGGCTGTACCACACAACCGCATCTCGCTTGAAATCATCTTTTTGCTTTATTGTATCGGAATCCTAAGAACAGTATGATATCGGCCACCATTATCGTGTCTGCTCTATTCTATTGCTTCTATAGTTGCAGAAAGAGAAGCTACAATCTCCCCCCTGGGCCTAAGCCTTTCCCTATCCTTGGAAATGTCAGAGATCTGCCTCCGACCGGCATTCCCGAGTATAAGCATTGGCTCAAATTCAAAGACATCTATGGTCCCATCAGTTCCATTCATATCTTGGGGCAGAGGATCGTACTTCTTCACGATCGTCAGGCTGCGCACGACTTGCTGACCAAGTCCTCGACAAAGACCTCGGGTCGCCCTTATATGCGGTTTGCGGACATGTGCGGATTCGCATCGCTCCTCAATCTTCAACAATACGATGGAACATTTCGACGGCATCGCAAATTGGTTCACCAGCAATTTGGGACGAAGGCAATGGCAGCACGATTTCGGGACAATATCGAGCCAGAGTCACATCGATTTCTTCTCCGAGTTCTGGATGATCCAGCCAACTTGGCGCAGCACATCAAGACGTAAGTTCACATAGCCTGAATGAACGCGGAGACACCGACTCGATATCCATCACTATGCTTTAGATTGTCCCTAACTGAATTCGTATAGTGAGGCGAGCGCCATCATTCTCAAGATAACCTATGGCTATTCTATTTCGCATAGCGGAACCGACCCTTTGGTTCATCTGATTGAGCGCACGATGGACGTGTTTGCACTTGCAACTGTCCTGCTCGCTTGGGCTGTGGATATCATGCCCATACTGCAGCATCTTCCAGAAGGCCTTCCAGCAACGTCCTTTAAGAAGCAGGGTCGAGAATGGAGAAGGCTTCTGCAGACGACACAAGACGTCCCCTACTTATTCGTACAGGAAAAGATGTCCAAAGGAACCCATGAACACTCATTCGTCTCGTCACTTCTTAAAGAAGACAGTATTGTCGACTGCGGGACCAAGAACGACTATTCCGAGGATGACATCAAGAAGACAGCCTTGGTCATGTACGGCGGGGGAGCCGACACCACTGCGTCAGCCCTTCACAGCTTCATCCTAGCCATGATCCTATTCCCAGATGTCCAGAAGAAAGCACAGGCGGAAATTGATGGTATTGTCGGCAGAGAGAGGTTGCCTGACTTTGGAGACCGAGATCGCTTGCCATATATCAATGGCGTAGTGAAGGAAGCTTTGCGATGGCTCCACGTGGCGCCATTAGGCGTTGCCCATCGGACCGATGAAGACATCAGCTACCGAGGCTTTGAAATTCCCAAAGGGACGTACTTGCTGCCGTCGATATGGTGGTTCTTACATGATCCTCATACATATTTGGATCCCTCTTCCTTTGACCCTGCCCGATATTCGGCACCTCGTAATGAGCCAGATCCCACGGATGAAGCCTTTGGGTACGGTCGGAGGATTTGTCCCGGCCGATTTCTGGCGGATGAGAGTCTCTTCATTACCATTGCGCGTCTCTTGGCGACATTTGATATCAACATGGCTGTTGATGACTCGGGTAATAAAATTGCGCCCCAGATCGCTACTACGAGTGGCTTGATTTGTCGTCCAGTGGACTTCCCATACAGCATCACACCAAGAAGTGAGCAATCCGTGCATCTAGTCAGGTCAGCCCATGAGAAATATTCTTCGGAAGACGAAGATGCGGATCTTGTTCGGGACAAGTTCCCAAAAGTATTTGAGTAATGAGCATTCGTGGTGGTAAACCCAAAGGTAGAGCAAGATTAAAGTCGTTGAATCTGGAAATAGAAAGGAGCTACACTAGGACTTGTTTTCAAACACGAAACGAGACAATGCCTGCCATTCATAAATCCACTTCCGTCTGAAGCAGTGGTTCGTTACATCACTGCGGGATTCCAGTCTCTTTTAATGTCTCGAAAGGATGGAAGCCGCCGCATATCAGGAAGATCGAGAGTTCAACAGGATCATGACATAATCAAGCAGGCTTTAAGTTTTATGGCTTCCACTGTTGACCACTAGTAGGCTCAAGCTCTCGTTCAAAAAGTCAGAGCAGGAACAAAGTAGTACTCTGGTGGTTAATGATCCAGATAAAGAACCTTTCCACATGCATACGACTTAAAACCAAAATTTATCCAGCCCATGATTAGTCAAATTCCTTTAGCAGCGAGTCGGGCAATTTCGTCTGCGGCGATATCTCTGCCCGGACGGCGAAGCGTCTGCTGTATCGCCCTCGCATTGTCTCTTTTGGCGACGCTTTCGGGCCCTCCATCCACGAGCCGCAAGAGGGCTTCACTAAGCTCGTCAAGAGAGAAGCCAGGGGCTGATTTTCTGTTGCCCCATATTCCAATCCCGACTTGCTCAACCCTAGCGGCGTAGTTATACAAGTCGAGCCAAGTCGCCAGAATGAGATGCGGCACGCCAGTCCTAGTATGCCTCGCATTAGCACCCATCCGCCAAGAGATACCAGATTGTTCGCAATGGCATAGGCCATGACGAATGTCTCGAGACAGTGTTAACACTCACGCGAGAGCTTCGTGATAGCAATTAGCCCCGCCATGGTGGACGGAAGCAATGATATCGCCCGTGTCGAGAAGAGCAGCTGGATCCACCGTCAACCACTTCAATACCCTGAGCCTATCGTTCGCAATGAACTCCTCCACCAAGGGCCTCCATTCCTTATCATCGAGACGAGTGTTCATCTTCCACAGAACCTGCACACTCGTGCGTCTCAGGACAGCCTCTAATGCGCCGGCCATGCTGCTTGCTCTGTCGGCATCGTATTCAAACAAACTACCAAGGTTGATAAGCACCGTCGGAGCCCTCATTAGCCATAACGTTAAATCAATGTCTTGTTCTGCGGCCGAGGCGACCGAAATCACAATAGGACCCGTTGTGGTGACGTTGGCTGGAACTGAGCTGAGCGGAATGGAGGCAGCAGCTGTGTCTTGGGAGATGAACACGCCGTTTCCAGGCTGGTGAATGGTGAAAAAGCCGATTGGGTCCTCGAGATTGTGGCTGGCTAGGAACTTACGCTTCTCGACGAGCTCCGGATTAAATAGCATGGCCCATGCAAAACTACCCATCTGGTAGATATTTGAGGGAATGTCTCGCCACGGAACAGGGAAGTCATGGCCGGAGCCAAGGCTGCTTTCTTCAGTACGATTCTCTACTTGGAGGAGGAAAGTTAGCTTACGCCGGGAATTGCCAAAAACCTCTGAGCCAGGGCTGTGCACCACCGAACACGTCGGCCAGAACGTTCGGCGACAAGATGGCGTGCAAGCGATTATCGCCTCGGGTCGCGTCCATCCCCGGCCGGTGGAACATATCGAGTACAACGACAGCGGGATCGATGGCTCTAATGAGTTTCTGTACATGGTTGTGGATCATGAGGTGGTCTTCTCCCGTCCACCGTGAGACGAACATAGCCATGTCATCATTAAGTCCTTTTAGTCCCTGGATCCCAGGTGGGCGTATCCAATTTGGTGTGAAGTTGAACCCAGAGGCGTCCGAGGACTTTGGAGCGGGCAATTGATGAAAGATGGCGGGGCGAGATGACGGAGATTTTATGCGGGCGTGGGCGGACATCCTGGCGATCTTGGGCTCGATCTTGGGCCATGATGCAAAATGTACTATGATCTCTGGGTGACGTTCTAACAGAGAATAGACTGTCGCAACGTGAACGTTCGAGAGCCCATGCTCAACATTGGTCACAAACAACACAGTGTTGTTCTTACCGATGACTGGAGGCTGTTGTTCGGTCTTAGTGCTGCGAAGGGAAAGGGCGGCGGCCAGGAGGGCGATGATCAGGGCCCCGAAAACCTGAACAGGTTTGTTTGAGAAAACGATCATTTTGAGGCTACGACAAGACGATTTACTTGGATATTTCGCAGCCACTTGCTAACCTGCATGGCCAAATTATATGTATAGTACTTGGTTTTACCTCTCAAACTCAACTCTGTGCATGCGTTCTTCCAATTCCATTGTGGTGGAGTCGCATCACTATATCGGCGATCAGCTCGTACGGGGACTTGTGGTCGCATGGTCATCATCTGCATAGCAAGATGACCGTGCATCGACCGAATCCAACAGCTCCTTGCCCTGGTCATTCTGTCGGACTTTCGGTCAAGCGGAGGCCAAATTGCCTCCGAAAGCACACCGCAAGAATTCGCCGTGAACCTAAGCATAAAACGGTCCATCAGACTCCTGCTTATCCCCCAGTACTGGTGCTGCTCACTATAAGCTGAGTTGTCTGGCCTCGAACTTCTTTAGGCATTGTTCGCTTCCCATGATGACTTTCACATTGCCTCCCACGATTATACTCGGAACACACAGTGTGGGCACTCTTCATGTTGCTAACTGAATGCCGCTGATACGTGACCAGGTTGGAGACTCCATTGTCGACCCCGAAACCTCTCACTTTGATGCCGAGCAAGATGTCCAATCTCTTCTAGATGGCTTCTATGGCCGTGGATACAGCCACCTCGACACAGCTCGCGATTACTCTCCGAATGTACCAGGTGCATCCGAGTCACGTCTCGGCAGGGCTAAAGGCGCCTCTCGGTTCACAATCCACACAAAAGTCCACAGCGCAGACCCGGGAGATCATCTACCCACAAAGCTCGGACTTAGCATTGATCAATCGCTGGAGGATCTCCAAACACCCACTGTCGAGACCATGTTTTTGCATTTTCCGGACCGCCATACTCCCTTTGAGGAAACAATCAAAGCGATGGACACCGCTCTGAAACAAGGAAAATTCAAAAGGTACGGTCTTTCAAACTATTCAGCTACTGAGGTGCAACGAATACTCGATATCTGCGAGCGACATGGGTATAGGAAGCCTGGTGTGTATGAGGGACATTATAACGCCATTGTGAGAGGAGCGGAGAAGGAGTTGTTTCCCCTTTTGCGTAAGCATAATATGGCCTTCTACGCGTATAGGTACGTCTGTAACCCTGGTGATTCGAGAGCTGAATGCGAGTTAACTTTGGTGTAGTCCCGCGGCTGGCGGTCTTTTCTCAGGCCATACTGCTTCTTCGGGACGATGGAAACGGGATGTAGGTCAAGAGGCTGGTGTTCTAAGTTGAGTCATTAATCTAACTCAAAGAACACAGAACTTCCTAGGCAACGTTTACACTTACCTTTATCGGAAACCCCCGGTCCGCATTGCAGTAGCTACAATACTTGAGCTTGCAGAAAACCACGGCATCAATGGACACGCTGCAGCATTGCGATGGACAGCATTTCATAGTAACCTAGATGGAAAGCATAGCGATGCTGTTATCTTTGGTGTTTCTAAGATGGAACAGCTTCATGAAACGCTCGATGCCCTTGAGGCTGGTCCTCTTCCCGAGGATCTTGCGGTTGCCATAAACTCTATTTATAGTACAGTAGAAGGCGCCGAGCCTCCTTACTACTTATAAATAAGTGAAAAGGGGCAATTCAATAACGAGATCAGGGAGAAGTATCATCGGAAGATGTCGAGACGGAAAGGGGTGGGATGATAAGGGCCGACAAGGCATTGGAGGTGGCGAGACTAGGCACAGTAGGTAAAGAGGCGGAGGCCACTTTCAATCGGTATAAGTACGATATGTTGTTAAAGGAACTAGAGGTGAAGAGCGAGTCGAACTAAATAAACGGGGATTGAAAAGAACCTACGAGGGAACGAGGCTAAGAAAGGTAAACTTTAGGAAGAACTTGAAGAAAGGAAGTAAGACAGAGCAAAGTGACCTTATGACTATTCTTTTTGAGCCACGCGATTGCCACAGCTACAAATGTAGTAGCACAAGTCCTCGTTACTTACTAATATCTTATACTTGTATTGTGCTATTAAGAATTATCGAAAGACAAGTATAAAGTAGATGTTTATATTGAGGATAAAGCCTAGGCCTTACTTGGAAATCATGCCATTGCACCATCAGCCATTGCACCATCGCTCATACAAATCCGATGCAGTTGATAATCTATGACTCCTCGTATCCTGAGGTCGAACTATCTCTATTACTAAAGATATTCTCGTAAGCCGGCACTGGTCCACGCGTTCCGTCATACGCCGGAAGCTCCTCCGCAGCACCAGCGGATAGCAGTAGTGACTGTGTGTCTGCAGCTGCCGCCCTCTCAACAGCCGGCGACACGACAACCTTTTGAGACCCGCTACACTCCCATAACTCCCCTGCAACGACAAGGTAGAACTTCCACTTGAATGTGTGAGCAAACAAAAAGCAGTACGTTATGTAGTCCGGCCCCAGTGGAAAATGATGTTTCTGCTCGCGCGGTGTCGAGCGAATGCGCGCATCCAAAGGTATGCCCAACTCCAATGCCCTCTCTCCCGCAACTAATAGAACCAGGAGCGAGCCAGTCTTAACCGCGATAGCCTAATCAAGGTGCAATGTCATTGTTCCGGTACATTTACCTTCGTGCGCTTCACCTATCCCTGGGCATGATACACCCACTATCGTCAATAGATTAATCACCGCGTTCGTCAGATAAGCCTTTTGCAGGACATCGCGAAGTAGCTTGGAGCTCTTCGCACGGTCGGGTCTTTGGTTTCATTACAGGGAGCGAAGTACCGGCTTAACAAGCCAATGGCCCCAAACAGGCTTCAGTGGTATTGGGCGTTGCTTTATTAGAACCTCGATTTCTGAGCCCCGGTCATTTCGCCTGCGAATGTCTGGTCGATAGCTTGATATGCATTCGATTCATGAGCCATCAGATGTCGATTAGGGACGTCTCTGAGATCCCTGAGAGACTGAAATTTGCTGTATCCATGATCAAATTGAGGCCCGCCATGCTTTAGAGAGAAAGCTTTGAGCCCAACAGTGTCTTGGAACGGTTTCGATCCTAAATGATGTCGTACTTGGCGGTTGAGATGCTCCTTCCCCTTGAACGCCTCATTATAACACCTGCGGCGCGGGCCGCGCGCACCCTTAGTGTTGTCAATGCTTGCGGGGGATTATGTGGAGACGAAGAAGAAACAAGCAGTTTCCAACGTCTTTACAACTGCGCGAAGCGACCAGTCAATTATAAAACCCACCTAGTCCCGGTTATCGCGAGCAATCATCCACTTTCCACTCGGTGTGGTGGAGGTTAGCTTCGCAAAGCTCGATTGTTATTGACGGCCGGCTAAGAAGAGACGGACTCCGACTTCGATCCGCCCGCCGCGCGACTTGTTTCATGCATACGATCCAGTCATCGGACTGGAGATAGATCCCTCAGACCAATCAGGGCTCCAATGACTCTCAGCCTGTTTGTCAACGAGTTATATAAGTACGGCTTCAGGAGAGTTGTGGGTTTGGGGACGCAGTGCACCGCGCTTGCGGCATCCCGTCGGAATAGGTGGGGGTAAGTGCCAACGCCGAGATCTGCCCATAATCTCTCCCCAGATTATAACACAAACCTTTCTAGCTATAATAGCCTCGAGTAGCCGCCCCCCGCCGCACCCTAACCCTTTAGTTAGGGCTAGGAGAGACCGCCGCGCGCGTAATTATTATAAAAGCCCTACGAGGCTTTTTAATTAGAGCTTATTATAAATTAATTATCAGAATTACTAAGTAGTTATTAAAAAAGCCCTACGGGGCTTTTTAATTAAAGCTTATTATAAACTAATTATTAAAACTATAAAGTAATTATTAAAACTATAGAGTGGTTATTAGAACTATAGAGTAGTTATTAGTAGAACTATAGAGTAGTTATTAAAAAAGCCCTACGGGGCTTCTTAATTAGAGCTTATTATAAACTAATTATTAGAACTACTAAGTAGTTATTAAAGAAGCCCTATAGGGCTTCTTAATTAGAGCTTATTATAAACTAATTATTAAAACTATAGAGTAGTTATTAAAAAAGCTTAGGTATATATAGTCCTAGGTAAGCGTAAACGTTATATTTTATTAAAGTACGTACTAAGGGGTTTTTAAATCCTTTTTTTTTACTTACTAAGGTATAAGTACGGGTATAAGCATAATAATAATACGATTTTTTATAATTATAAAAAATCATAAGTAGTAAGTAGGATTTATAATTATAAAAAATCTACGGCGCGCGCGCGATTACCGAACCCTTTAGAATTTATAATTAAAAAAATTATTTATAAGTAATTATATAGCTCGCTATTAAAATTAATAGCTATAAAAAATTAATAATAAGCGACCATATAGCTCGCTATTAAAATTTATAGTTATAAAAAATTAATAATAAGCGACCGCTTAGTATACGGACTACTATTAAGATTTATAGCTATAAAAAATTAATAGTAAGTAACTACTTAGTATACGGACCGTTATTAAGATTTATAGTTATAAAAAATTAATAGTAAGCAACTACATAGCTCGCTATTAAGATTTATAGCTATAAAAAGTTAGAGGTATAAGAGTTATTTTTTCTTAAGATTTATAACTATAAAAAGTTAGAAGCGTAAGAGCTACTTTTCTTAAGATTTATAACTATAAAAAGTTAGAAGCGTAAAAGCTACTTTTTCTTATAATTTATAATTATAAAAAGTTCTTTATCCTAATTTATAGCTATAAAAAGTTAAAATAAGTAATATATAAATACTTTTTTTTAAGATTTATAGCTTTAAAAGGCAGAAGTATATAAATATATATAATAAATACTTATATTAACTTAATATTAATTATATATATAGATACTTTATAATTTATAATTATTAAAAGATTTAAATACTCTCTATTATCTAGGATTTATATTATTCTCTCTTAAAATATAATTAACTTATAATACTTAACTAAGTTACTTATTATAAAATCTTATAAAATAATTTTTTTTATTTATATAAGCTAATATTATTTAAACCTTCCTTATCCTTACTTATTTAAAAAGGCTCGAACTTAGTTTTTAATATTGTATATTACTTAATACCTCTAGTTAAGTACGTTACGACCCGCCCTACTTGCCCTACTAATCTCTTCTTATTTATAAATACCTTTCCTTTTATAGTTATTTATATATTTCCCCTTTTTTTTTTTAACTTCTACTTTCTTTTTATTTTTAACTAACCTATTTTCTTTTTTTATTTTATAATAAATATTTAAGCGCGCGCCCGTATCTATTTTATTTTTTATTATAATTATTTTATAATTATAACTATTTTATAATTATAATTCTTTAGTTATTACGTATATTATATTACGCTTATATTCCCCCCTCCTCTTAACTATTATGCTTAGTACGTAATTAATCTACCTATTTCTTAGTTATTATTTTAATATAATATTGTAGGTAACTTATACCTTTTTATACTTCGTACTCGTACTTCGTATTTACTTAAACTATTTAAACTTATATTATCGAATTTATGTTTATGAAAAGAGGGCACTACGCTTTACCTATCCCGTCCTGTCCTTATACTTACCCCTATAATATAGTAAGTACTATTATTACCCCTAAATAGAAAATATATATAATAAATACTAATTTTAATTTATATTTTAGGCCGAGCTTACTTATTATTATAATATTAATAGATTAGTATTTACTATCTTAGTACTTAGTATTATTTTTTATTAAAAGTATAAATATTATATCCCGCCCTAATTATAAGTAAGCTTAACCTATTTATTAAAATACTTTCTTAAGCTTTTTTAGAATAATAATAATATTATTAATACCATTATTTACTAAGTTTTTAAGCTTATCTTAATTAATATTTATAACTAGTCCTTTACTTACCCCAAATAGGTTAGCTTATAACCCGATCTTTCTAACTACTTTTTTTATTTCTTTTTCTTTTTACTATTTTATAACGGCCTTAGTTACTAAGCTTATTTATATATAATAAAAGTTTAGAATATATATTTTATTTATTATTAAAATATATATAATTATTAGAGCGACTTAGTAAAAAAGCTCTCAATATAAGGATATAAAATTAGTAATAACTCTAAGTACTTTTATATTTAAATAAATAAGGAAAGTAACGTAGTAGCCCGTAATTAAAAAATACTTAATATTATTATTTAGATTAAGAACGAGGAGGCTAAAAGTAGGAATAATAATATATTTTATAATAGTTTATTTACTATTTTTATTAATACGCGTTATTAACTCTGCGTTTACTAAGCTAATTAGCTTATTAAGGCTATATTATTAACGGAGCTTAATTTATTTTTTAATACTATAGGGTTACTTCTCTTTTATTAACGCCCTAGCATATGGGCAGCTTTAAATACCTACTAAGTAATAGTTAAAATCCGCACTAAAATAAAAAGTAGAGTAATATAAATAGGGGGTAAGTATTAATTAAAATATAAGGGGATAGGTAATAAATAAGAGAACTCGCTTCATTTTAAAACAAAATGTCTATTTAGAACTCTAAAAAATAATATTAGTAAATAATATAAAGTATAATAAGTTTAGAAATTAATAAAATATAGATCGATTTATAACTAATTTAATTATTAAGGCTTTAGTTTTAAAATATCGTTTAAATATTTCTAATTTATCTAGTTATAAATAGCCCATATACTTAAAAAAGTACTACTTATAAGAAATTAATAAAATACTACTTATACGTTACTAAAGTTACCTAGCTACGTAAGATATATTTACAAAACGAAAAGTATTTCTTAATATATTTACTATTAGAGTTTAACTATATAAATATAACTACTATAACGCTATTTAAAATAAATCTATTTATAGTTACTAAGCCGTTTCGTCTACTTATTTATATAGCTTATTAATTTATAGTCGTTACTAATAAAATAACTAAATATCTAAAAACGCGTTATATATCTATTATACTCTAAGAAAAACGTAATATTCTTTGTAAAATTAAATAAAAAACTATAATTTATAAAACCTAATTTAACGTTATAGGTCTTAGGGTTAGGGTTAGGGTTAGGGTTAGGGTTAGGGTTAGGGTTAGGGTTAGGGCGGCCACGGGCATGCCCTGACCTTGTTGGTGATCATCCAAGAATTCAAGATGCAGGGCCGGGTTTGCGTGCCTAGTGCATACTGTACGATTTGCCAGTTGCTAACTTGGTCTCTGCCAGCC